ATGGCTTCACTGAGTTACGCAAGCCCCTTTGCCACGACAAGGCAGTGATCCATGAAGGGGGTTCAAAAATTACCCCCTTCTATTTTTGGTTTTCCAATATAGTAATTTATTTTATTCCCTACTTCTGCTCTGACATTCACTTTGGAATGTCAGAGTCTCTTGGCCTTACTTAATGGGTTATTAACAGTTTATGATGGCTCAAAATACATGCAGCATTAGAATTTGTCTACCGTAAGTTTAATATGATCAGACATGCAATAATGGGGAAAGAAGCAAGTTAAGAGTTTCCTTCCGCGCCACTTATTTGCTATAAATTATATCTCACCCAACAGTAATTATCTCCTCTGGACAGGAAACTGGGAGGAAGGAAACACAGATGTAGATGATAATTGTGATCATGGAACTCATGCTACCTATCCTGTCTGATCTGAGCTTTTTAAAAAATGGGATCAAATACTTAACAGAAAACAAATACATGTATCAGGAAGTACAGTTAACTTGGAATTAAAGTCCTTCATCTCTTTTTTGAAGATCTAAGATAAATAGAAAACATGTAAAACAGGTACTTCAGTTGCAGGCTTTCTTCTGAATTTAGCATTACAACAAGCAATAGAGATCCAGAATAGCTTCTATATTGAATTCATGCTGGGTTTCTGAATTACTTACTTGAAAGTCCCATCAGGGGTTACTTCACACTTTTGTGCACTTATATGACAATAATAATTTGGGCATCTTCTGATGGGTCTGCAATCATTTCCCCCTTCCACTCCTATTGACAGTCGTGGTTTGCACAGGCAATATGACTATGGAAATAGAAAGGAGACTGGTCAACGATTTCACAGGCTCCTTTAGCAAATCTCATCCTTGTATTTGTGTGCTTTTAGAAATCATGCATCATCAGTTGAGAATCTCTGCCTGGTTACCCAAGATCTTTTGGTCTTTGAGAAGGGATAGAGGGCAGAGATGATTTAACTGTGCTGTCCGATATGGCACAAGGTGGCTAAAGAGTTCCCCTTCTGCTTTTCTGTTGACCAGTGCAAATCAGTTGAGCAATGAAGGAGCTCCAAGCTTTATGCCCTTCATGTCATGTCAATATCTCATCTTGTGAACAAAACTGTTTCTGTTTCAATTTGAAGATGATGTACTGAAGGTGTGCCTGTGAATGGGCAAAGGGGCATGCTATCGTTCTCTACTCCTCATAATGAATCCATGCTGAATGGGTATGTCAGAATCTCTGGATGGAGTACATGCCAACAGGAAACTGCTGATACGCAGATCCCACTTCCCAGATGATGGCTGAAAAGATTTCCCCATCACTGCTGGCCTCCACATGAACTGGAGAAACTTCCATTTTAATATTTTACTCTTCTGTTTGAGCATAACTTGGAAATTCATTGTCATTACCTAAGCATGTTTTGAGGAAAGCTGCGGAGTACTAAATGTCACTGTCAGTGATCTAGAGTAAAATTAATTAACCTTTGTCCAGCTGGCTGCTGTATTGCCAGGTTTTTGTTTTTCTTTTAATTTAAAAGTAACAACATTAGAAATGTTAGCATCATTTGACTGGATTGGGGAAAAATGCTATGACTGAATTGACTGATGTCCAATTCATTCATTTAATATCTGATAAAAGCATTTCAACAAGAGAAAGTTGGAAATGGAAGATTCTGGGTCATTCTTCCCCAACTTGGTGACCTCCTTGATGTTTTAAGATTATAACTGCTTGAAAATTCTGGTGCTAGCAATCCTAGCACATCTGGAGGGTATAAGCTGGGGTAAGATTGGGGAGTAAGTTGGGTTAAGATTATGTAAGTGATCAACTTACATGATGATAATTTATACTCCTGATGATTAATTTCAAACCTTGAAACAAATCAAGATGCCATTTAAAGCAAATTTATTAAGGATTAAAATTCCACTGAATGCAATGAGATTTACTTCCTAGTAAAACTTTGGGTAGTCTAAAATAAGTCAATGTGAATTAACATTTTCAGACAAGAGCTTATGATGCTCTTTTGGCAGACAGATCTATGCTAGAAAATATATCCATAATAACGATAAAGGCACATAAATGGGGTAGTTGCAATTTTCTGCCAAAATGAAATGAGATAATTTGAGATTGACTGAATCCAAGCACTGCTTTCGTGGTGGGTGATAAATGTTTCAGCATTTACAAGCTTGCTGGAAGAGAGATTTTATCTTCCATCTTTTTAAAAATAAACTTCTGTATTATCTGGAAAACAGCATACATTTAAAAGGTATACCATAATAATTCCATTTATATGGACAGTATATGACCCAATATGTATGTATGTATTTAATTCCACTCAAGGCACCATTACCTTTCCTGGACCCTGCACAAAACAGTTGGTGGTATTTATAGGGCAGCCTCCATTATTGTCAAGGCAGGGGTTTATGGGTTGACACACTCTCCCATTTCCTTGGTATCCTTCTGCACAAGCGCATTGATATTTGGTTACCCCAACAGTCTTGCAAACAGCAGGTGAGGAACATGGAGAAGAACTACAGGGATCCTGGGCTGAAAATAAAGTAAATGGGAATATTAAGAGCTATGATCTCCAAAAGCCAACTTTCAATGGCAGTAGGTTCTGCATCTGAGGAATCAAGCCCGTACCAGTCAGAGAAAGAATAACTAATTCCTAAGCCATAAGCAATTCCCCAACCCTGATTATATGATTCTCCAGAACACCCAAAGACCATAGTGCTCAAACATGGAAGCAAAGCCACTGCCTGTAATATCCAATCAATTTCCTTCATCATGCATTTACTTCTTTTAAACATTGTGAGCTTGAGTTAGGTCTGCATTAAAACCACTGACCCGAATTAAGTCTTTCTTCAGAACAGGTGGGAGTACCTAGCCAATTCTGGCTGATCTCAAAAAAGCCAAGCTATATTGGACCTGGTTGGTCATTTATTTATTTGCAATCTTATAAACTGCTCCAATTGAGCCTGACTCTGAGTAGCACCTTATCCCCTATCTTTGTATATTCAGAATACAGTAAAAACAAAATCAAGAATAAAATAGAAATCATAACATAGGCCAAACTGATAGGAAAAATAAATATTAAAGAAAATGAAAAAAACAGGACTATCACTCTCAAGTGACCAGCAATTGAAACGCCATGCCTCACTAGGGGAAGAAGTCATAGCATTCTGGCCCCTATGGCTATATTTTAATGGACTTTCCGGAAGCTAGGAGGGAAGAAGTCATTCTGAAATCTGGGGACAAGCTATTCCAGAGAAGGGGGCCTGCAGCTGCAAAGGCACACTCCCGGTGTCCCTGCAAATGACAATCCCTGAGGGAAGGGATCCAGAATGAGCCTGTCCTACACAGGCTTATAAGGTGAGCAGATGTTCCTGGGAGAAGGCCGTCCTGCAGATATCCAGGCCCCAAGCCATTTGTTAGTACTTGGATGACAGACAACTATCTCAGGTCTGCAAAATAAAATGGGAAGTCAAAAATTCTTACTAGGAAGAATGCAGTGGCAACCCATTATATGGCCATATAGTTACCAGAAGCTCAGCTCTACTCAAGGGAGACTTGGTTTTATTTTACTAATGTGTTCACATAACACTACACTCTGAAGGGGCTCTAAGTTATTTTTTATGGACAAAAGGATGACTATCCAGAGAAATACACAAGAATTGTTGGTTGCCTGCCTTTGACCAAATCCTGTGGCCTTTCCTCTGACTCTGCTCGACTTTATCACACACAGCCTCTTGTTGACTTTGGCTATTCCTTCCTTCTCATATGTCTATAAACAGCTGAGTGAAGTTTTCAGGCATTGGGCCCTTTCCTTTGAAAGAATAAACAAACTCTATCCCATGAGGTTCACAAAAGACAAAGGCTGGATCACTAATATATTTATTTTGATCATCATCCTCAATCAGAAGGGAAAGAGGCAGGAAGGATATGAGAAAAGAACCTTTGGGGAAACAGGAATAAAGTCTTATAATAACAAAATTAAATGAAATCAAATTCACCAATTCCCAAATTCACCAAAAAACCAATTCTGGTTTTTTATTGATCTGGTTTTGAAAGTGATTTTTGGGGCAAGGTGGGCAAGCTTTAGCAGAAGACAGAGTGGTTGAACTCTTCTTTGATTGTCTTAGGTCTCATTATAGTTGCACTGCCATTGATTGTGGAGCCCTTCTGTATCGCGTAGTTTTACTGGAGTTTGAAAGCCAAAGGAGTCTAGAGCAAAGGGGCTTTTATTAGTTGAGTTGGTCTCCTGTTATGGCTCTTCCTAGCAAAGGACAGCCTACCTTAGTAACTTGCAGATTAGAGTACGATAATCTATTCTACATATGGATGCCCTGAAGATAGTCGAATCAGTTCCAAATGTAGACACCCAATTAATTTCAGAGATAATAGGAATACACGAATACCGGGGTTGTGGAATCATGCATATTTTTCTGCTTATACACTGTTGACTGACCAGGTTTAATTGTTATAAAATGTCTACTATATTTCAATCAGAGAATCAGAGAACTGGAAGGGGACATTTAGTGCATCATGTCAATTTCCTGATCAGTTCTGAAATCCAAACAGAAGCACCTCTGACTGAAGGCTGTCTAGGGCAGGGAGCTTCCACCTAATCCTGCTGATTCAGAGTCAGCTTGTGAGAAACTACAATTCCCAAAGCCTTCTCACCTCTCTCGACTATTACCAAACCAAGTACCCAGAATCTATACCTATGCATTTTCTTCCTCAGGGAAGAGCTTTCCTTCTGGATCTCTCTCATTCTGTCTCTTATTTTTAGTTCAGTTATCTAATAAATCAAGATAATTTTGAATGTTATTTCTGTCTTCTGTTCTTCTGCCAGAGGCAGCTAAAGGATCTAATGCTTTCACCAAATGACAAAAGGAGTGGAGGACATTATGAGATTTGGGGCCTGGCCTCCCCATGGCAGATATTCCATAGCTGGCCATAGCCTTGTGGCAGCTATTACAACACAAATTGCTCAAATCCCTTTTATTTTGTAGGGTAGAAAAATAAATGCAGCATTGATGAAATATACCTTGGATTGAAAAATGTCTCTCTGAGTTGGCTGTGCCTGAGAGGCTCAAGTACCTTCTGAGGACTCCTGAAAAATTAGCCCATTTGTCCTAGTTAATAAACTGTGGTGTGAACTATTTCTAAATCACATTTTGGGCCCACTATGAATTCTTTAGGCAGCTTTGTGTCTTTAGGCCAGCTACTGTACATTCTTTGTGCTTAAAGGACTTCCAGAACAGGGAGTTACAGTTTACCTAGCCACAACTGTAGCAATAACCTGATCTTCAAGTTCAGAAGCCAGCTGCAATAGAAGGTAAAACAACCTTCTGATCCTCTCAGCTGCTGCAGTTGCAGTCTGCAGGCTGGAGGTACGGTGTGTGGCAGAGAGCCAGTCTCCCCAGTGAGAAAACGGACATGCAAGACAAAGCCCCATCTCTAAAGGAAGTGGTGCTTTTTAGGGGAGGTGGTGTGAGGTGGTAGAGAGGGGGTACTCTCCATGTGTGATAGATCTTATAAACTACATTGATGTTTTATTGCTATAGCAATGGCAAGGAGACACTATAAATTGCTAGTCTAGAAGACTAACCTCCCATCTAGAGGTTAGTCTAAAATAGCCCTTTTCTTTCTATTTCCAACAATCAGAGGTGGTTGAAGTGCTATTTAATCCAGAACAATCCCACCCACACAAGGAGGAGCATCAACAGGCTGAGGCAAAGCCGAAGTTTCATAGAAGCACAAAATAACATTTGGGAAGGAACCACTTGGTGGTTGTGGAATGCTGAATGTTGTTGGAGAAATGAACGATCAGTTGGCAGTGAGGATGATATAGAGCAATTTATCCAGTCTGGTTTCTTCCAGGTATCTTGAACTACAAGTTCCATCATGCCTTAGTATGCTGATTGACAGTGACTGAAGTTCTGGTTCAACACTGTTAAGAAAGACTGGATTAGAATGCTCTGGAAGAAGTCATAGTTTACTGACTGGAACAAGTGAACAATATTTTCTTGTAGGTCTCACTTGTATGAATTCTGCTTACAAGGATTATAAAAAAAACACATGTAGAATGCTTTGAAGCATTCTAACATGGTACGTAAATGCTCAAGGTTTCCTCTCACCTAGACATTTAATCCCAGTTTTCCTGTAGCCTGGAATACATTCACACTCAGCCTTCCCATCCTTTACCACACAGATGGAGTTGGCGTCACAGATTACATCACCGCAGCTGTGAAGTTCTGGAATCACAAAACAGGTTTATTTGAAATGTAGCCTCTAAAGAACATGAAAGTATCTTTTAGCTCCATAGCTACAGATAGTTGAAAGCTGAGGAATTATTCACAGGATTCCAATCACTTCCATGCACCTTCTATAGAGAACTGCAACTATATTTTGTGTTCCGTGTTGATAGCTTGTCCATTTTAAAATAGACTCCCCAGGTTTAGGAATTCAATTCAAAGTATTTTACTTGTACGTATTTTACGCACAATCAGAATAGCATGTAATAATTCTGCCACTCTGCTGCTTTAATTTGCAGAAGTAATCCCTCTGACTCATAGACAGCAAGCAGAAGGTGGTGTGTGTGTGTATGTGTGTGTGTTATGAGTGTGCATGTGTACAGGGGGAACAACAGAGTGTTTTAGATCTCCTCTCCTCTCTTATTTGTTATCACCCCAGAAACCAAATGCGGTGTAGGGCTCAGACTGCTCTGAACACCTGTTAAAGGTTTATTCCCATGCTTTAACATGTTATTTACTGTATTATCTAGCAAAAAATCTACAGATTGTCCCAGATGATGCCCAAGCTATGCTAGTTATTCCTAAACATCATTTTGGTGAGATCTGAAAAAAAAAGAAATGCAAAAGATGCACACTCATGTACACACCTTGGTCACATTTGGGGCCAGTATAGCCAGCATAGCAGGTACACTTTCCATCTCCAGAGGGACCGTGGTTGCAGAATCCATGCTGACACTCACATACTATGCGAGAGAAGAGGAGCAAGCAATGCACACTTAGGGTCTTATCAAGCATGTTGCAATAATTAATGTAGCACTTAGAATGTTGTGCTGGGAGCAGGAAGACTTTCCCACAAAGTTCATTGACTACCTTTGGGTCACTTGGATCTGTGTTTTTCAAGTGATTATGGTTAGGGAGATAAAATTAGGGGAAATCCTTGTGTATACTATCTTGAGCTCCCAAAATAAAGGTATATAAAGAATGACTGAATAAATAAACACATTATTATTTTACTGATTAATTATTGAATGTATTCCCCACCTTTCTATTTATTCCAACACTCAAGGCACCTTACAACAATAAAAAAATACAAAGTATAAAATATAACAAAATTAATACTATTAAAATCAAAATTAAAACCAGCTATTAGTATAGTTAACAGTGAAAAACTTGGCAAAAGGTGTGGTTTTGCCATCTTTGTAAATACTGGGAGAATGAGAGTGAAGCACATCTCCTTTAGGAGTGCAGTTCATAGCCCTTTTTTCTATGCCTGACAGTCAGCATTCTGACAGTAGGGCCTCTGCTGGTGATCTACATAACTGGGCAGGTTCATAGCAGAAGAGGTGGTCTGGCCAATAATTAGGCTGTGGAGTCCTTGGTACTCTCTGAACTTGGTTGTTTGCTTGCAGATGTTTCATTACCCAACTAGGTAACATCTAGTTGGGTAATGAAATGCCTGCAAGCAAACAACCAAGCTCAGAAAGCACCATGGATTCCACAGTTCAACCCTGAACTACACATATTCTCTTCTACTGGAATGATAATTAGGTCTTATGGCATTTAGATCTTTAAAGGTCAATACTAGCTCATAAACTATGCCCAGTAGGCAATCTGGTGTACAAGCTTCATATTAACTGTATATTTTGTCCCAGTCAGCAGCCTGGCTGCTGCATTTCACACCAATTGCAATTTCCAGACTGTTTGCAAGTGTTGCTGTTTGACAAGGCTGAAATTATCATATTTTGCAAAGATCTATATGTATAATGCTGGGAAGGGTGGAAGAAAATAGAAGAAGAGGATGACCAGCAACAAGATGGATGGACTCAGTGATGAGTGTACCATTAAAAGACCTGAAAGACCAGATTAGGGACAGATTGTCATGGAGAAAAAAAACTGTGGTTGCTAAGAGTCAACAACTTGATGGCACATAATCAATCAATCAATCAATCAATCAATCATAATCAATCAATTGAGAGTTCAGCTTTTTCTTTACCAACAGCACCTCTGTCTTGCCTGGAATTAATTTCAGCCTGTTCTATCTGATCTAGCCCAATATTGACAGTAGGAAGTGTTCAAGAATATTCATGGTTTCCTTGGAGTTAGAAGTCTGGAGTGGTACAGCTGGCTGCTTCAATCTTTTACCTATCCACTTCATCATTCTCAGTTAGCTCATAAACCAAGGTGCTGGTAGAGCTCTGCTGCTGGGAAGGACACCTAGGAGCTATAGAGTCAACAACTCTGAGCTATCACTATGCTCTACAGATCAGGAAGGACTTCAGTGATATCATAGATAGATAAGGTAGGAAATTTCCAAATGCATTCAGAAACCCATCCAGATCCATCAGGTGCCTGCCCCAGAACATTTTAACCGGTTGTCCACCCCTCCAGAGGTTTATAGTGCTCGTTGCTATTATTGTATGTCCATGATTTGCCCCGCAGCCCACTCAAATTCTCCTTTAGTTGACTACTAGCCATTAACTTGCTTCATTTCAGTGAAACCCTGGGTTTGAAAAGCTTACCAGATTGACAGTCAGGGCCGAAATGAACTTCATCTTTGCAGTCTTGGCATGCGTAGCCACCATAATTTGCCTAAAGGAATCAAGGAGATCAACATTTTATAATAGCATTTCTGTGTCCCTTAGGAGACACCTCAGGAAGGAAGGAAGGAAGGAAGGAAGGAAGGAAGGAAGGAAGGAAGGAAGGAAGGAAGGAAGGAAGGAAGGAAGGAAGGAAGGAAGGAAGGAAGGAAGGAAGGAAGGAAGGAAGGAAGGAAGGAAGGAAGGAAGGAAGGAAGGAAGGAAGGAAGGAAGGAAGGAAGGAAGGAAGGAAGGAAGGAAGGAAGGAAGGAAGGAAGGAAGGAAGGAAGGACAAAAGTTATATTGGGCTGCCTATCAACAGGACTGAGGAACCTGTGCCCTTCCAAGGGCTGCAGAACTACAACTCCCTGCAGACTTCTCATTAATCTTGCTAGCTAGAGTTGCTGGAAGCGGTACTTCAGTAACATCTGGAGGGCCACCAATGGTTTACTTCTGCTCTATAATGAACAGTATGCAAAGAATCTATCCTCACACAGTATCATCAATTTGCATCCTTGGTAGCATTGAGATTAAATTTCCTTCTTTGTTTTTCCAAGAAGGCACTATAAGCAATAGGCTTAAAAAAAAAAATTGGTAACAGACCATAGTTAGAAGAAAGGAGGATCAATTACCTTAAGGCAATTTAAATCATAAAACAAGCAGTTAAAATGTTTCACTTAATCATTATTCCAGAATAGGGTGTACACCTGGATAAGCGAGATGGAACTGAATCAACTTCCTAAGCCCTCACATGCTCCATCCTCAATTCATCTTTCTATTTGTAATCAAGAGAAGCTGGTTGAATTACAAACCCATCTGTTCAATAAAGGGAACTCAGAGATGTAATAGATTATCCTATTTGGACATAATATCAGTAGTTGCCCCTTGCACCTAGTTGCTAAATAATACACAAAAGCTTTGGTAAAAGAGCAAAATCTTATGCAAAATTCATTAAAAATAAGGGGGGGGGACTAGGAGCAGCTTTTGAGGTCTAGAAGGTGCTCTGTTGATCTGCAGGCACTGCATTGCCAGCCTCTACTTTATACTTTAGTTTATAGGGTGCAGGATCCTTTAACAGTACACATACTATTGTAATAAATAAATAAATAAATAAATAAATGCTTATTTAATAAAATATTTCCTCTTTTTATGTGATTGTAATGATTAGGAAGCAAATTAGAAGTTAATCGTGTGCACAAAACAGCACATAAATTGTATTTGTTATTTAGAGTTCTTGGTGTCAATTTTGGTGGGAGTGTGATGTCCTCCTTAGTGGTTCCCTGATTACTGGCAGGGCAAGCTACTATCCATAAACATGCAGCAAACCCCACACTCACCAGCACTGCTGATGTTACCTATCTGAGTGATGAAACATCTGCAAGCAAACAACCAGCTCAGAGAACACCAAGGACACCCCAGCTCAGTCCTGAGCTACAGATATTCCCTTCTATTGTATTTGTTATTTCAGAACATGTCTTTCTCTTGGTCTTGCTGATCACACATTAAGAGCTCCATTCAGAACTTCATTTACTAAGCACCATAAACCTTCCAAGAGGAGTAACTATTAAATGATATCTAGCTTACATAGATTTGTTTATCCCAGACTTTTCTACAAAAATTCACCCTCATGCAAGGAGCTCCTACTACATTTAAAATATACCTTAATATCAGAACAAAATATAAGAGCTGGTTGGCATAAACATTCGGAGACTCTTGCTCTCCATGAAATTTCCTTTAGCAGCTGGATTTCCTTTAGAGAGGGGTGACATTTTTTAGTTCTAGGACAAACTTCCTCCTCCAAATGTAAATCTCACTCCTCCTTTAACTAGTAATGTGGGAGAAAGTCATCCTATGCATCCTGCAATGCACCAGAAGGATGTTCTTGGCTATAAACTGGCTAGCCTATTGCCGGTAATATTTTCTTGGGGAAAGTAAACCCAGTCTTACATCACAAATGCAGGTTCCGTTGTTCTGAATGCCATCCAAACAGGTTCCATGCTGGTTGCATATGTTTTCAGATCCACCCGGGCATTCTAGAAGAGGAGGAGGAGTCATACATATTTAGATTTTATTTTTAAATTATGTCCTCTCACACTTCTGTTATGAACAATGTGCACCAATTTCTTCTTAGTTTAATGGCCTTGTGGAGAAAGCTCCATTCTTGTAAACACCAAGGTTTAATTTTGTTCCTTTTGGCCATCCAGGGTAATGGGGAGGCTTCCTGAAATCTGGCCCATCCAGAATGGTATGCAAAAGAAGAGAAGGGATACTTGTTTGAGTACTAAACATGCTGATGCTGCCTGCCTCTCATAGGGCCTAATGTTTGAATCCTTATTCCTTATTGATTTTGAAGAGGCTCCATGGCTTGAGTATAGACGGCCTCCAAAAGCTCGTCAAGCAAGATATGATTCCCAAACCCTCTTGTAAGCCTCGGAGTCCCTGACTACCTGATATGTGTCCTATATCCAAAGACCTACCATAGCATTCGGTACCCCAGAATCCAGGGCAGCACTTTTTCTCTTCTACTTCCTTCTTGCACATGATAGTGCACCCCAAGATAGACAGAGTATTCTCAGCCAGGTCCACTGTATATCTGAAATAGGAGAACAAACACACACATGCACACACACAAAAACTATTATCAGACACGTGACCAAAAGGCACAGTAATCTATTCCAAACAACACCTACAGCACAGAAAAGCCAAGTCTGACCTGGAAATGTTTCCTGTCACCATCATCAGCCTTGAAGGTAAAACTAGAAATATACTGTCATTTGACAATGCTTTTGACAAATTGAAAGATTTTTGGCTGATCTTGATCACAAAATTTGATTGCCAAGATTCAGTGGTATAGAATTGTTGACCTCTGTTCCTTTATTCGTTGCTCTCAGTTGTCTGTATAGATATGTGTATGGGTCTGTATATGTAGGTGCACACAAATGTGCATGTAAGTAGGTATAAAAAGCATAAAAAGTATTTGCCAAAAACCTGAAAGAATGTTAGATAGAAGAAGAGCAAAAATCCAGAGCACAGGAACAGAGTGCAAAGAATAATAGATTTAGGAAGGGAGAGTCTAACTGAATAATTAAACAAAAAACAACTAATCTTAACCCTAACCCTAACCCTAAGCTTTTGTATAGCTTAGCATAGCAAATGCAACTGCTTGGCTCTGCTCACTCCCACTGGCTCTCCCCTGTGGCTGCACCATTCATGGCTTAAAAAGGGAGCCAGCAGACACGAGCACACCATAGCAGGGCATAGTCACCATTAAGCATTTTTTTTTATTTATTCATTCATTCATTCATTCATTCATTCATTCATTCATTCATTCAATTTATATAGCCACCCATCTCAGGCCAGTGACTCTGGGCAGCTAACAATAATAAAAACGATCAAACATTTAAAATAATACAGAAAATTAAATATAAATACAGCCAAGAGATCTTAAAAAAACCATTGGTGTCAACACAACCATGAAATGGGGCCCTTTGCACACTCAGGGCCCCAGGCCCGGGCACAAAGCCAGGTCTTCAAGGCCTTCCAAAAAGCCAAAAGGGTCGGGGCCATCCTAATCTCAGGCGGGAGGATGTTCCAGAGGGCAGGCACCCGAGCAGAAAAGGCACGTCTCC